AAAATTCTCTCTATAAAATAAATTCTCTAAATAAAAAATTCTCTCTCTACAAATATGCTATAAAATTAGCTGGCTAAAATCATACATGTAATTACATATATGGTTAAAACATATTATTTGTGTGTGTGTGTATATATATATATATATTTATTATATAATTAAAGTCTCATATTTAATCATACTGCGCACAATATCTTGCGTACCACATTCATAATAACTTTCCTTTTCTCATTTCATCGATGATCCTTCCTTACATTTATGAGGGACTAAACAATTATTCTATCCTCAATAGCTAGTGTGCATGGGAAATATCACAGTTAGGTACGCTTTCTCTTATTAAACTTTCTCATGTTTTAGAAATAAATATATCGTTGGTAATTATAGTTATGAAATAATTTTATTCTTGATAATTTGAACACGTGAATTTCTCATAATTGAGTTATACAGTTTCCATAAATACCTCTACTCAAATTTACGAACAAATAAATATTTTCTATCGAATTTTAACCTAACAAAAATTTTATAACCTATAAAAAGAGGAATGTTTTTGAATGATTTTCTATTACTAAGTTTATTATTAACAAAAGTGTTCCGAACAAATCAAAAAATAATTTATTACTTGTAATCAGTGAATACAATTGTGAAACATGAAGGAACAACAAGAATTATTACAACATTTGGAACAAGTCGAAGCAAAAGCTGGTGAAATTCTAACTGACAGACAAGAAATAATTGCACTTGATAAAAGAAGAAATGACGACAGGGTTGGCATGAGAGCATTGCAAAAGGCAAACTGTGAAAAAACTTGGATGACTATAGGTCCTATGTTATTAAAAATGTCAAGTAAAACTGCAGAAGAATTGCTTTTAAAGGGTACGCGCATTTTGTTTTCAATATTGTCGTTCGATTGAACAAATTATAATTTTAGTTTTAATTTCATTATTACAGATCAAAAACAATGCGACATAGAAGTGAATAAATTGAGAAGCGACTTGAAGATCAAAGTAAACGAGCTGAGAGATTTGGAATTGAATCCACCTGTACCTGGATTAATGTTAAAACCTATGGCCTATAAAGAGATGTCTGCCATGAACCAAGTTCTAGGAAGAAATTCTTAATTACTGTTAATATTAATTAAAACTATAACTTTTAATTTAACAATAAATTGTCTTTTAAATGCTGTGTTATTCATTAAGTACACCTTTCTTACCGACACGTATGAATTCTAGATCGGTAATAAACAGCTAACGCCATCTACACCTAAACCTCGCAAACTAATCGATAATTAACACAAACAGTAGGTAATTCAGAGGAACAGTCGATAATTGATACAACAGTCGATAATTAAAAAGAAATCGATCGATAAGTATTTCTGATTAAAACAACTAAGATTAAATATAAATTATTTTATCGAAATATTAAAAGAAAAAAAATAGATTTTGAAAAAGTGATTGCGAAAAGTATCGACAAAATCCGCAATCATTTAGTTGCCAAAACAATATGACGTTGGCAACTAAGTGATTGCGTATATGGTCACCGCAACGACTTAGTTGCCAAAACAATATGGCGTTGGCAACTAAGTGATTGCGGATATGGTCACCGCAACGACTTAGTTGCCAACGGGATATTGTCTTGGCAACTAAGTGATTGCGGATATGGTCACCGCAACGACTTAGTTGCCAACCCAATAGTAAGATTATTATAATATTATATACGTTCATATATATATATATATTAGGTGGACCGGAAAGTAATGTCGCTTTAAAGAAACGACATTACTTTCCGGTCTATGATCAGGGGGACCGGAAAGTAGTGTCGTTTCTTAAAAACGACATTACTTTCCGGTCCAAGATCAGGGGGACCGGAAAGTAGTGTCGTTTCTTAAAAACGACATTACTTTCCGGTCCAAGATCAGGGGGACCGGAAAGTAGTGTCGTTTCTTAAAAACGACATTACTTTCCGGTCCAAGATCAGGGGGACCGGAAAGTAGTGTCGTTTCTTAAAAACGACATTACTTTCCGGTCCATGATCAGGGGGACCGGAAAGTAGTGTCGTTTCTTAAAAACGACATTACTTTCCGGTCCAAGATCAGGGGGACCGGAAAGTAGTGTCGTTTCTTAAAAACGACATTACTTTCCGGTCCAAGATCAGGGGGACCGGAAAGTAGTGTCGTTTCTTAAAAACGACATTACTTTCCGGTCCATGATCAGGGGGACCGGAAAGTAGTGTCGTTTCTTAAAAACGACATTACTTTCCGGTCCACGATCAGGGGACCATATCCGCAATCACTTAGTTGCCAAGACACTATCCCGTTGGCAACTAAGTCATTGCGGTGACCAAATCCGCAATCACTTAGTTGCCAACCCCGCAATCATTTAGTTGCCAACCCCGCAATCACTTAGTTGCCAATCACGCAATCACTTAGTTGCCAACCCCGCAATCACTTAGTTGCCAACGCCATATTGTTTTGGCAACTAAGTCGTTGCGGTGACCATATACGCAATCATTTAGTTGCCAACCCCGCAATGATTTAGTTGCCAACACAATATATATAATTAATATATATTTAATAATAATAATAAATTAATAATATATATAAATATATATATATATATATATATAAGTGATATGAATTATTATGTGGAATATTGTAACCAAGTCCTGTTCCAAAATGGAACCTGATCGAAATATATTAATTAATAAAATATATATATATATATATATAATATATATACGGTATATATATATATATATATATATATATAACGTACCTATTGAATAATTTTATTAAATAAATAATTATTATTAATATATTTCGAATATATCAAGAAATAGAATTAATTTAACAAATCGGTCGCATCTAATGCGAATTTCAGTTCCATTTTAATTTACGATTAATCTTGGCCTGTGCAAAGAGATAACGATAGGAAGTCAAATTTAGAAAGAAAGAAAGAAAAAGAAAAGGAATAGAAAAAGGAAAAAAAAAGGAAAAAAAGATATACATATTTATATTACTCGTCCGATCGTGCCTTATCTCATGCGGTTTATATTTTGATATTCCTCTTCACGCCATAGTGCAATCCGCGTTCAGTGAAACACTTTCCTGCACTCATTAAAAATCTTACTCATCTTCCGATAACGTAATGAGTAATTAGTGACACTCTAGACGACTGAAATTTCTTCTTTGTTGTATAACTCTCTCTCTCTCTCTCTCTCTCCCTCTTACACACATATACACGTACTCTTTCAACAATAAGAGCTACGATAGAAGAAGATTGTCAAAAAAAAAAAAATATACAAAAAATATATTTCTTCGTTAAACGAGAAATCACATTATAACGGGCCTTAGACCATTCATCTTCGTTTGAAACGTGTTTAGGGTAGTTAGAACGAAAAAGTAGAAGAAGGGTTGAGAGGGAGAGAAGCAGGGAGGGAAGAAGGGATGACGAGAGTAAAGAAAAGAAAAGGAAAAGAGTGCTAGAATTCTCTTTGTCGTTAAATGTATTAAATTATTGCCGGAAAGCTCTTTGCATACAATGGGCTTCGGTTGGTCTAAACGAATATACGTATATGAGAGGAAGAGAAAATATAAGAGAAAAAAAAAAGAAATAAATAAAAAGAAAGAGAGAGATACACAAAGGGACGGCTCTGGCTACCTACCAAGCTTATTCCCTTATCTTCGCTTCTTTACCTGCGACGACGGGTCAAAATAACAGAACTAAGCGACGCGACAGCTAAAATTTATAATTCCATGCAGGCGCCTCTTGTCTACGCCCACTACGTACGAAGATCTTGTTTTGGTTGGCACGCGTATCGTCAGGATAACATTTATTTGCCTTGGTATATATGTGTTTATATGTATATATGTGTGTGTGTGTATATATAATATATATATGTACATTGAAAAACAATGGTGTTAAATTGTACAAGAAATTTGTGATAATATTTTAAAACGATACATTAAAATCAATATAAATCAATTTCTACTTAAATATATCGTAGCTTTATGTAAAAACAAATCAATCGAATGTGAATCAACAATTTGATAAAGATTGATCATAATAATTCGTGCATTCATTCACGCAGGCATATGTATATGCATATATGTAGATATAGAGATAAAATCATGTAGAAATTGTTACCTTTGTAAATAAGTAATGAAAGAAATTTCACAATAATAAGAATGTTAATGAGTTAAGATCTCTAGTGTGCATTCTTAAAGAAAATCTTTTTCTAAAGAATCATACACTCTCAGACTTCTAATCCGACAATGTCTTTGTTTGTCCTTAACTTTTCCTTATTTAAAATTAGATTTACTTGTAGATATATATTTAAACATTTTATAGAGTTATTTTATCTAAGAGAAGAAAAAAAATAGAAGAAAAAAAGAAAAGCTATGATCTATTTCACTCATAGAAAAAATATATATATACATACATATGTGTATGTGGCATTGTGAAAAACAAAGAACGCATGCGCACGTGCTCATGTACTACACAGAGACGCGATTAAAAAGAGAAAAAAGTCATTTTCTTAATCCTACTTTTTCTTTTTTCTATTTACTAATGGTAATAGAAACAAAACATTACGATAATAACACTTTCCATTTGATTTGATTTCGATAAGATCAATAATAATCGAACAAAGATAAAAGTTAATTATATTTTTTTTCTTCTTCTTCTTTCTTCCTTTTTTTCTTTTTTTTTTCCCAATCATAAACACGATAATTCTTAAACGCCGATATATATATATATATATATATATATATATATATAATACCATTGTTATTATCTATTCAAATTGTTAATAAGCCTTGAGAAAAAAAAAACAGAAAAAAAAAACAGAAAACAAAGCAAAAAAAAAGAGGAAGAGGAAGAAGAAGAAGAAGAAGAAGGAAAAAAAAGTATACCAATAGTTTTCCTCATACTTAAATACTTCCACTTATCAGAATGTTTCTAAATTATCCTGTCGAAATATATGTAACTAAGCTATTTACTTACTACGAGTCGTATTTGTAGTCGGCATAGTCTTCGTCGTTAGATTTTATCGTCGTGAAAGAAACATCGAACGAAGATAGAAATAAAGAGTAATAGATTGATTTAATAGACGATCCGATCCGATCCGATGATCTATCTATTCCATGTACCTATTTACTTACATGCTGTATCTGAAACATATATAAGTAAAATATTAAATTATTACCATACGATAAGGATCTATTTTACAATATATATATGTGTGTATATTATTATTAACAAAAAAAAAGAAAAAAAAACCTAACGTTCTCTCATGCGTATAAAATAAAAATCTAACGTAACGATATAAAATAAATTATTAGAAGGAAAGAATATGAAGAGTAGAAGAAAAAGAAATTAAAGAAAAAAAAAAAAAAAAAGGAAGAAAAAAGAACATAAAGATTTCATTTAATTTCATCTCTCTCTCACTCTCTCTCTCACTCTCTCTCTCCCTTTCTCGTTGCATTTATACACGTGTACACGTGTACACATTACACACGTACGTACATGCATACATATATAGATACATGGAACTGACCAATAAGAATCGTGTGCATTAATAAAGAAATCGCACGCACATGATATCAACAACGGCTCCGCGTATTGTCTATCCATCGTTTTAACGAGCCGCAGCGAGCAGCGAGCTGTAACGCACGTGCTGTTTTCGCGCCATGAAAAAAAGAGAGAGAGGAAAAAAAAAGGAGAGAAAAAAAGAAAAAAAAAAGAAAAAAAAGGAACAAGAAATAAAGAGAAAGAGAGAGAGAGAGAGAAGAGGGAGGAAGCGTTGACTCATTTCGTGCAACTTCCATGAGCACTCTCTTGTCTCGCAGCTGCGAGAGAGCAGAGTCCAGACGCTTAACTTAGTACGTTTGTACATATATTCTCTCATTCGATTTCGTTCTTTCCATTTATTCGCGAATCCTATCTTATATTATTCAATCCTGCTGCGCAGGTTTATATACATATTACGTTTTATATTTTACCGGCAATACATACAGGATTCCATTTATCTTTCTCTTTTGTCTCTCTTATCTCAGGGAAATGCCCCTTCTTCGTTACAGTGGAACACGTTACACATTTATTCGACTATCACGTTTCTTTCACGTTCACGTTTACGTTTGGAAAAGATTAGCTTTTTTTCTGTTGCTTCTTCTTCTTCTTTTTCTTCTGCTTTTCTTATCGAACTCATCGATCATTCCACTAAAAAGAAAAAATGATCTAATTAAAAATTGCGTTGATTGTAATCCTTTCTTTTCTTCCTTTCTTTCTTACTAAAATCCTACGCTCTAATTCCATTAAAAAAAAAAAAAAAGAAAAATTCAATACAACATTGTTTTACCAATGCATATCGTATAATATTAAATACACAGGTAAAATTACCTGAACAGATGTTAAATAGAAACAATCTATGAAAGTTTGATTAATTTAAATAACACGAAGAAATATTCGTAACAGTTTCAAATTGCTTAGTTGGCGAATGTGAAATTTGAGAGAAAGAAAAAGAGAGACAGTGAGAAAGAGAGAGAGAGAGAGAGAGAGAGAGAGAGAAAGAGAGATTATTACTATTGTTATTATAATAATAGTTACAACTGTAATTATAACTACATTTATAATTATAATCAATAACTATAATAATAATAATAATAATATAATAATTATTGTAATACATGGTAACGTAGCAGAGAGGTCAGTTTTATCTTTGTGAAACGTCGCTGATAAGATACGACGGGAATATAATTATGTTGAGGTATTCAATACAATTGTCGTCTCTTAAGAATGTGTTTTATAAACGTTCGAAAAATAAACGAATGATTTTATCGTTGACTAATCAACTATGGTGTTATAAACATCTATTCTTGTCTAAAAGATAAATGAGAAAATTATATTATCGTCCGGTAAAACAAAATTATTGATTCTCATTTCTAAATAGATCTATCAAAAAAAAAAGAAATAAAAAAAAAAAAAATAAACAAACAAAATAAAATAATAATAATAATAATAATAAAAATTTCTAATTTTTTCAAGACGATAGATACACATACGTATAATAATTTTTAATAAAAATAGATAAATAGGATAGATTTTACGATCATTATTAACTTGTAAATATATCTAGTAAGCAATTAACATGTATTATAACATTGATAAGTTAAGTATTTCGTCTATGGTGTTTTTATAAGTATTATAATGAAACTAGATAAGAAAGAATATCGTTAAATATTTTCTTTCGACTAAACTCAAAAGTTTAAAACTATAATACAGAAATGTTAATTGCTTTAAATTGAGTTAAAGTAAAGAAACAATACTATTTCTGTCAACGAATGATTCTCTCTCTCTCTCTCTCTCTCTTTCTCTCTCTCTCTTTCTCTCTCTCTCTCTCTTTCTCTCTCCCTCTCTAAAAGCACACTTATTTGTCCTAATCTCGAGACCTTCGACTTCGTTCGACAAGGTCCGTGTTAGTTTGCCACAGAGAAAAGTGTGTCAATGAGAAGGGAAGCACTTTTTCCAATTAGATATAACAATTCGTACAAATTCTATCGTTAAAAAGAAATGATATTTTTTTTTTCTTTTTTTCTTATTAGATGTTTCTTCGATCGAACCAATTTGTTTATATGATTTTTAATAAAAAAAAAAAGAGGGGAAGGGAAAAAAGTGAGAGAGAGAAAAAAAAGAGAAAGAAAGATAGATTTAGATAAATAGATAGATAAATAGAGAAAGATGTATATATATATATATATATGTCGAAAGAAAGAGATCGTATTACGTAGAAATAGCGATTAGATTCCATCGATTTTTTTTTTCTTCTCTTTTTATCCATTTATCGATCTACGTTCCAGCACGCTCGTAAAGCACCTTTGTAGATCAGAATCTCTTTGATGAAATAAGAGGAATAAGAAGAAGAATAAGAAGAATAAGAATAAGAATAAGAATAAGAAAAATAAGAAGAAGAAGAAGAAGAAGGAGGGTAAGTGCTATGTAATTCTCGCTGAGATGAAACGCACCGCGCGATTCAATTCGCGATTCGAACGGCAATGACATTCCGCAACGTCGTAATTTTTCTAATCGTTAAGCACATTCAAATATGGCGATCAAGTTGGGTCCTTGGCTATATAGGCAGAAGTTGGCTCAAGGACGGCTGCCACTCGTCGGTCTATTCGAATTTCATCATGGATGCGAAGCTGGTAAACGGGTGAATGTCAGCTCTTTGCGCTTCGTTCGTCTATGTATATATATATATATATATATACGTATGTATGTATATAACGAGAGAAAGGGAGAGATAAAGATAGAGATAGAGAAAAAGAGAGAGTTTCCATTCCTCCCCCTCTCTCTTTCCCTTTTTGCTGAAAAAGAAAAAATATTATTTATTTTTAATCGTCGAAAGAAACAAAAATAGAAAGAGAAAAAAAAAGAACAAAAAAATTTGCGATATCTTGAAAGATATATATATATATATATATATATATATATATATATATATATATAAATATCTTTACGTATAAGTATTTCTTTTTTTTTATCTTTTTTTTTATCTTTATATCGGTAAAAAAAAAAACAAAAAAAAAAAAATCTACCGAAGTGTAGCGCTGAGCACTCTCGAGCAAAGGGATATGTCGGGCACTCGGCTACAGGTGCCACCTGCGAGTTCCGTAAGCATGAAAGAGAAAGAAACAGAATGAGGGAAGGAAGAAAAGAGAAGAGAAGAAATGAGAGAGTGAGAGAGAGTGAGAGAAGAAGAAGAGAGAGAAGAGAAGAGAACAGAGAGAAAGAGAAGATATAAGGGAGGTGAAGAGAAAAGGGAAAGCTTGAGGAACGTCGTCGTCTAGTCGTAGCCGGTGGCGGCAGGTTAAGGCGCGAATATCCAACATATCAGATCGGTGAGTCACGTCGGCTCTTGTTCGATGCGTTCCGGCTACCCCATTCGCCGCCCACGCGACAGCCCAAGCTCTGACTCATCAACGTTTCTTGGAAACGGTGCGCGTGTCTCATTTGAAATTTTCGGCTTGCGAGGAAACCAACAATGATGATTTCTTTTAACTACTTACTTATCTATTAACATACTGATATCGTTCATTTCTCGTTACTCGTTAATAATATTATTACTATTACTTCCTATTAATGTTGTTGAATTGTTCTTTCTATTAGAGATATTATTCTTATTATTATTTGTTGCTACTGCTGCTACTACTGTTGCTGCTAGTTACTTCTGTTATTGCTATTGTTGTTATATTGCCTTGATATTGCTTTAGATATTATTGTTCCTTCTTCTTCTTGTTAATTCTTCTATATTATTACTATGGGATAAAAAGAGAGAAAGAGAGAGAGAGAGAAAAAGAAGATGATAAATCAAGTTTTTTGATTGACTTTTTTAGTTACAACAGACATTTATACTTCCCTCCGAGATCGATAACATTACACTATCGTTAATTTCGTGCAATTTCCCTTTGCTCCCCTCTTGTCCACCCTCTTTTTCTTGAGGAAAGGGGGTCGGTCGGTCCCGACATAGCGGTCACGCTCCGATGCATTCTCAACCCCTCTTATGCACCCTTATTTCTTACCACTTTACTTTCTTACGCGATTAAAACAACATCCTATTGTAATAAGTGAGAAGGTACTGGTGCGTTAAAAAAAAAATGAAAAAAGAAAAAAGAGAAAGAAAGCAAGAGGAAGAAAAGTAACATGTATATTATAGGTTATTATAACGCGCACTTCGTCGAATAGGTTGATACTTCGGTCTTACCAACGTCGTTGTTATTTCAATCAAAATCATTTATTCGCAATCCAAATTTCGAGATACGTTCGTATTTCTAAATATAACCAACGAAATTCTAACCTTAACATCGATTACATACGTAACGTTCGTACGAAATGATATTTGGTTACGTAGCCGTTGGGATTTTTCGAACCCACGACCGTGTCCTACTTTCGTACGTTAAAAAAAAAAAAAGAAAAAAAAGAGAAAAAAAATAAGGAAAGAAACGTTCCTCGTTGAAATTTTGTCACGCTTCCGACGAGGAAGAAGATATCATCCAATCACGATCGTTCGGACTAAATGTTCTCACTCAGGTAACCACGAATCATCGAGAACCCTTTTCCTCTCACGTATCTACATGATTTTTTACGCTCGATAAGTGTTTTCAATTAAAAAAAAAAAAAAAAAAAAAAAAAGAAAAAAAAAGAAAAAAAAAAGATCCTTCACAAGAAGAACAAGACGATAAAAACACCGATGAACATGATCGAGTTCAAGTAAAGAAAAAGGAAAGAGGAAAAAAAAAGAAAATGAAGATACGAAAGAAAAAGTGGGAACTAACGCGATAAGTGTTCGAGCGTGTTAAGTGTTTAAGTGGAATGAGAAAATCAAAAAAAATATATCCTCGTTCGTTTTTTCTCGTAATCGTAAATAAAAAAAAAGAAAAAAAAAATGAAAAAAAAAAGAATAAAATTTAATTTGTAACCGACCAAGTGCCCGCTTGTGAAAATACCCGCTGTATCCGTACGTCCCTGGTGCGCGCGTTCCACGGCGTCGCAGCGAGCCGATTGGTTCTAGCTCGAATAACCAAATGACGTCATTGTCGTTCGGGTAGCGTCGGGGCGTATAGAGGCGGAACGATCTTAGCCGAACTCGGCCGAGCATAGGACCGAACGCATCGCGAATCTTTCGAGGTATTCCCCCGCGGTATGAGTCATCGGGCTTTTAGTTTCGCACGGTTTCGGAGCAAAGGAGCCTGCTGCACGATAACCGTGCACACCTCGGACGCTTTTTAAACGTGTTTCGAAGGAAAAGAAAAGAGGTGGGAGGGTGGGAGGGGTTAGAAGAGGAAGAGAGAGGGAGAGAGAGAGAGAGAGAGAAGGGACTACTACGACGGTATCTTTTCGAATCGAATTCTTTGCTACGCTTGAGAAACGAACACAGTACGCTACGTAAGTACTTGTGAGTACTTACGAACGTATCGAATTTTTGTTCGCGTTGTGTCTTTGTTCCATTTTTTTTCTGCGCTTTTCTTTTCTTTTCTTCACTTTTCTTCTTTTGGTGTCTCTATTTTTAAAGACGGAGATAGAGAAATAGTCTTTATATATAGATGAAGAGATAGAGATAGTCATAGAATTATCTCTCTTTCTTTACTTTCCTCCTTTTTTCCACCTTTCTTCGTGATCGTTTTATACGAGATCAACGCGGCCTGATCGACACGACGAGGGAGGAAATTAAAGAAAAAAAAAAGTCACACGTACATATATACACACATACATATATGTATATGTAGAGAGAGACACAGGCACACATACACATACGTAACGTTGTACGTAAAGTAACGTATGCACGGACTTCGTGTATCAACGTAAACGAAGGAATACGTACGAAACGAACGATTGAGAAAAGAAATAAAAAAAGAAAAAAGAAGAAGATAAAGAAAAATGAAGCTGGACGTGTCCGACGTATTATACGACAGCTCGAGCGTTTCCAGCGACAGCGGTACGTCACAGAGTTCCCGCGTCAGCCATGATTTTCTCTCCAGCATCGCTAACTCAGCTACGCTGCCGGGCAACGTAAGTACATTACATATATATATATACACATTCTACACATATGCGCGCGCGCGTACCACACACATTATATATATAGATATCTATATAGATATATATATATATATATATATATATAAGATACGTAGTCGAGTACGATTCGTTGCTTTCGAAGAATTAAAAGAAGATGAGAGAGAGAGAAAAGAAAAAAAATAAGAGGAAAGGGAATCTCATTAAAAATTCTTATTTTATTTCGTTAATATATAATAATATTAACATATTTATTTCTTTGAATCTGTCTGAAGTGAGTAAGTATAACGGATATTCGATTCGATACGATATTCGATTCGATTCGATTCGATTACGATTTCGATTACGATTACGATTCGATTCTCTCTCTAGTAACGTTTATAAAAGATCATAAAAATGTGTTCCTTATTTTCTTTCTTTCTTTATCGCGTTTATTCAACGTTCCTTATATAGATATATTTGATTATTTTACATGTTACTTACTAATTGATAAATTAGTGACTTACTAGTGATATAGTTTATTAAATGTAAGATGGATTTTTAGTTTTTTAAGTGCAACAATTGATTTAACGTAACTAATTACTCAACACACACATATATATATATATCCTCTCGCTTATTTCCAATCGAATTTGTTTCTTTTTTCTTTTTTCTGTTTGTGCCTTCTCCAGCACCTTCCCCTTCACCATTTCTCTTCGGTCGAGAATATTACGTAAGACGTTAAGGACGCGCAACCGATGAGAAAACAGTTAAAACAACGGGGTGTTTAAAAGCGTGTAAAACGAGCGAGAACTCTCTTCGATTGCGCTCTTGCCTTTTCTGTGAAGAGAGACAGAGAGAGATAGAAGCGAGTAGGAGTATAAGAATGAGTGAGACAGAAAGAGAGAGAAATAGAAAGAGAGGAAAGATCAGGAACTTTCCAGAAAGGGGCACTGTTCTTTTACAACACACATTAAAACAGAAAGTAATACAACTATATATATATATATAAATATATTATAAATGTATGTATATATAAATACTTATATATATTTATTTATAAAATATTTTCAAAAAATTTATTAAATATTTATATATATATATATATATATATATATATATATATATAAATCAATACATTAGTAAAGTAGTAAGGTCTTTGATTTAATAAATGATTTTCTTCATAATGATCATTAATATTCTTCTTTCAACTGTTACAGAAGAAAAGAATTATTCTCTTCTTTTTTATGTTGGTATTAATTATTTACCATAGATATGGTTATATATATGTATATAGATACATAGATATATCTGGTATATAAGTTCAATTACTTGGTTACGTTATAAGGAGGGAGAGAACGTGAAAGAGGTTCTCTCTCGTTGAGAGAACTCGTAGATAAAGTGTCCCTCTCGTAGCGAGCACGCTAAGTGTGGATCCGTTATCCGTAAATACATATATACATATGTATATATATATATATATATATATATATATATATATATTGCACGCAGTAGCGTTGCTAATTTTACAAACTGGCCCCTAACGTCATCGCTATAAACCGATCTCTCTCTATCTCTCTATCTCTCTATCTCTCGATCTCTCGATCTCTCGATCTCTCTTTTTTTTTCGCCTTCTTATAACCGCTTTTTTTAGTGTCGATTCTCGAAAAAGATTTGCTTTTGTTTACGCTGCATCTCTCTCTCTCTCTCTCTCTTTATCTCTTATTAAATTCGTCGCTGATTACGTGTATTAGATCAATGATTAAGAAGGCTCTATACGATTACATCGAGTTTGATTCGACAAAAAAGGTTATGTCGATTAGAGTATGGTTCGACAAAAAGGTTATGTCGAGTATGGTCCGACAAAAAGGTTATGTCGAGCGTGACTCGACAAAAAGTTACGACGTTCGTTGATCGACAAATCATTGACTACTCAGTTTTTTATTCTCTCTCTCTTTCTCTCCCTCTCCCCCCTCTCTCTTTCCTGTTCATTTATTTTTTTTTTATCTCATTGACATACCAATTGATCGATACGCTTCCGTGATACTCATGTATGTTCAATTTTCTTTCTTTTTCTTTTTTTGTATTTCTATATTTATTTTATTTTTTTGAAGAAACGAATCAAAGATCGAAGCGAAAAGGATAGAGAAAAACAAAGAGAGAGAGAGAGAGAGAGAGAAAGAAATAGAAATAATACATATGTATTATTTAGAGGATAGGCGGCGAGCAATATATAAGAAGTGTTTCGTCATTTAGGAAAGATTTTATACATATGTATATATATTTATGTATGTATGTATGTATCTATTTGTATATACTACTATTGTATTGCAAAGATAATACAATGGCTAGATCGCGTTTGATCGAACTAACTAACTAACTAACTTACGTACGTGTAGTACGTGTAGTACGTGTAGTATGAACGTACGTACGTACGTACGTACGCCAACTTTCATTCCGGTCACGTTTCTTGTGTATCCATTTAAGGTGCATACACCGCATGTGCACGATATATCGCCAATAAATTGCTGGATTTAGTTAGAAATGTCGCTAACCAATCGTGATGTAGTTTTAAATTTGACGAGCAAACTAATCGTATATAGTTAATCGAAAATATTTTGTTATAATACATATTAAAACTTTCCCCTGATTATTATTATTATTATTATTATTATTATTATTATTATTATTATTATTTAATTATTTATCTATTAATTTATTTCCGTGATTTATATATATATATATACGTATATATAAATATGGAAGATTTTTACATTTTGGTAAACTCGTGTAATACATGAAAAAGAGAAAAATGAATAAATAAATAAATTAAAAGAAGGATAAACTAAAAAAAAATAAACAACGATGTTAAACATCCTAAAATCTTTTGATTCTTTTATGTAATTGTTTTAATTTCTTTTCTTTTCCTTTTTCTTTTTTTTCTTCTAAATTATATACACTTCGTCGATATAACATGCAAAATATTGAAAACTAAAGCGCATAAATATTGTATGTATACGTATGAAGAAGTAAAAATGATAAGAATCGAAATATTTTAAGACCGTTCGTGTTATATCGAAACCACAACTTCTTGTATGTATCTTTAAATGATAGAAATGTCAAAAAAAAAAAAAATAAAAAGGAAAAGAAGAAGAAGAAGAAAATCCCTATCTACGTATTCAAATTGTACATACGTACGTAAAAAGGAAAAAAAAAATTACCGAACAAACTCTTACTATCTCACGAACGTCGAACCGTACACAAGAGTGATAAATCTCGTTTCAACCGAGAGAGAGAGAGAGAGAGAGAGAGAGAGAGAGAAAAAGAGAGACGATTCCTCTCTTCTCTCATTTTCTATGACGCAAATCGTATTTATAGCGTAGGATTACACGTTTAACTTTTTTCCTCGAGTCATACGTAAAAGTTATTTTTTTTCATTGTCACAAATATGCAAGACATATATAAGTATATAGAATACTAACGATAGTTGTTCGTTCATCACACATAAAATGCATTTAAATATTTGATTCTTTCTTTTTTATTTCTTTCTTTATTTATTTATTTTTTAATTTTATTTATTTTTTTCTCACACACACACATATACACACACGGATTTTCTCTCCTTTTCTCTTCCTTCTTTACTTTTTTTTCGATCGAATGGATGTATGCACTTTTTTTCCCCTAATCTCTTACGTCCAAGTACGACGTAACTAAGTAACTAAGCTAAGTACTTACTAAAGTCGATAATAAATTTCAAAGAAAGAAAGAAAGAGAAAGAGAGGCAGGGAGAGAGAGAGAGAAAGAGGGAATAATATATTGAGGCTCGTAAATGTTAGTACTACGAAGGGCAAGAAGAGAGAACTATTATAGCAGTCAGGATAGAGGAGGAGGAAATCCCCCAGGAGGGTTTTTCTTTTGGCTTCGTTTTGGGATTGGTGCACCCCTATCTAGTAGATACTCTCCCCTTCGTTGTATCTCTCTCTCTCTCTCTCTCTCTGTCTCCACCTCTCTCCCTACATACATATCTTACATACACATGTGCATGTATAAAAGGACAGATAGATATAGACAGAAACATGCATACATAGATACACATATACATAAACCTAGCCAGCAGCAACGATAGTATTGATTCTCTCGTTTTGGCTGGCATGGCTTCTGCTGTCCCCAACAGCTGTTTTATAAAGAACCCGTACACGGTCACCTCGTGACAGTACTACGGCCATTTAAACTAGTCGATCGAAGATATATATACATATACATATGTATATATATATGTATATATATATGTGTTTGTGTGAGTGTGGTATGGTATGACCAATGTTTAAGCTGTTCCTTCAATACATATTCCACGTATATGTATTTCGGATATATATTTTCATTGTATATGTATTTGTCGAGATAGGGGGGTGGTAGTTTATGTGGGTGGGTATGTGTGGGTGTATGTATGTATGTATGTATGTATGTACGTTAAAACGACCGGAGTAAAGAATTAACATTATAAGCAGATATCCGGTCATAGCAGATGTCGTTTAATTATTCCTGCGGTGTTAATTGACGAGGGTCGAATTAAAGTAATAAAGATAAAGAATAAATTGATAAATAACGAAGATATTTGATCTCGTATATAAATTCCAATCTTGAAAATGGAAAAAGAAAAAAAAAAAGAGAGAGAGAGAGAGAGAGAAATATCTTTGTATCATTATATTCGATTTACTGGATCGAAAGTTGTTATCTCCCAGTAATAGGTAACAGTCTCTATGTTACTCGAAGAAACAACAAGATATTAGATGTATATATATATATATATGTATATATAGATATTTGCCACGTATTCGCAAACAAAGAAAATGTTATCGGTTTCCTGTTAGTAGCGGCAAATCCTTTATTTCCGTGTACATATGTATTATACAAAAAAAAAAGAAAAAAAAAGATATATATATATATATATATATATATATATATATATATGGAGATGTACATGTATACGTATACATTTTTATTTTGATGCATAA